TGCCAGCTTTAACAAGAAGTCCCTACCTTTACCCCTGCTAGCATGCCAGTTGTGGAGACACTGAAGTCAAGGTAAGCAAGCGTTTCAGGGTTAGAAGGTTTGTAGATCTGTGCAGGCCGCTTCTTTGGCAAATCGTCTAGTGAAAATAGAGAAAGAGAATGCGTGTATCTTACTCCCATGACAGACAGACCTCTTGAGTGCTTGACAAATACAATGATAAAAGAAGACACAGAGGTCCCCTAGCCTTAGTACTCACCTGTATCTAGTACCGGAGGCCATGTTCTGACATCCACTGCTGCTGCCGCCTCTCGCGACCGTAACAATTTACATATTAATTGTGTAGTCATTAAGCAGGCAGAGCGGCTCACCTAGGAATTTAAGAAATAAATAATAATGCAATGGGATACTGATTAATTCTCCCATGAAAATGAGCAAGACCATGATTTATTTTCTGCCAGAACAGGACACAGGTATATTAGTCTTGTGTTTTCCAATTAGGAGGTGGAAAGATGCACAAAAAATGCAGCTCACAAAGCAGACAAAGTCATGTGAGTTTTACAAATTACATGAAAATCGCACTTTGAGAAGAATGTTGCAATGAAACTAAAGGCACCTTAAGTGAGAATGTGACTTTTTCAACACACTGTATCAGTTATCAACCCAGAATGCCCGTACAGAAGACTGTGACCAAAACATTTCCTATGTGATGGTAATATATCTTGGTTTATAAACAATATTTTCACATAAACCATAACCTAGCCTGACATTTAAATGAGTAATTTTACTATCTTAAGTCAATTTTTTGTTAGCCATACATTCCTGATTCCTGTGCCAGTGTGATAAACCACTGGGAACTCTTCAAATATCAGCAAAATAGCTCTAGACCAAAAATTGTGCAGGTGGCACTAAGAAATGAAATGGTGAGTTTACTGCAAATACCATCTGCACTGAATTTTAGATGACACATGCTGAAGGTATTCTCCTTTTAGATTTGCTATTTTTAAAAATACATAAGTAGAAACTACAAGAATATTTCCTACTGATTATAAAAAATATTGTATTTAAGGAAATATTCAGACAAATGTAAATATGAACACTGTTAATCACTGAAGACAGTACAGAGGAAAAACTGAAAAGGCAGCATCATTTTTCTTTTCCTCAAACTTTGAGAATCTGTGCAAATACTGCTGAGAGTATTTTTTGTTTAAGGAATCTGAGACATTTCATTGCACACTGAATTTCCAGTGTTTAACCTAAGGAAATCAGTAACCATATGTACAGTAAATTTTACCACTGAGCAGAAAAGATCAGCTTCTGTTCACAGTAATCTCATGGAGGTCAACTTTATACGTCAACTTTATAGAGTACATGAGGAAATTAGGAGCATACAAGCACTGACCCAAGCTCTACTTACTTCTAACCCCGTGATTTCCCTGTATGGGCAATCTAAATATTTCAAGCTAAAAGTGAAGACAAATGAAACCATTGCAGCATCCCTCAATCCAATCATGCCACTGCCATGGCAAGGCAAGGTAATTCTTACATAGCTAATCTTAATCTGTGAAAATCTTGATTTGGGACATAGTGGAGCCATAAAACAAAAGGAATGTCAAGAGTTGGTGGTTACCAGCCCACTCAGGAATGATATTATCTGGAAGATCAGGACTTTTATTAAAATACAGAATGTCCATGCCTGGAGAATAGCAAGTTGGAGGTAAACATGTAGGGACAGTGGGAAGGAGAAAGACATCTGACCTCCATGTTAGCAGCTGCTCAAGATGGGGCTCAATAATGTTCAGTTATATTTTGCTACTACAAGTTCATCACCAAAACACAATTATGTAGGCCAATTTTGCTCAGAAGTTGTTCTTACTGACTTCAAAAGGTGCTGTGTAAACATATAGCATGTCAGCGGGCTCTGACCCCATCACAACAGGAAATTTATAAGATTGCATTGGCAATGAAGGAACAGCCTAAATATTTTAATTTCTACAAGGTCATCCCTCTCCAAAATGAAATAAAATCTTGTGTGAAACAGAGCTGAGATGGTTTTAAGTCCTACTGGCATTAATATGGCTAATAAATGTCAACGTTTTATTTAAAGTTAGTCTATTGAAGGGATGACAATTACAAGTCAGCTTAGACCTGTCCTAGTTTTGAATCAGTAAACCAAACAGATCTAGCTTGGCTATTAAACATCAAAGGAAAAACAAAATTACACATTTTATATAACTTCTATAATTTTAACAACTGATGTTTAAAAACTGTGAGTGCCAAAATATTAAATAACGAGAACCCTGAAGACAATAGGACAATTTCTCATACCTCTACTGAAACTTTGTGGCATCTGATGCCATAAAGAAAATATCAACATTCATTAGAAATGTTAAAATCACATTTGTTTCAACTTGTTTTTTCAGATACTCAGAATTCCATTGAACAGATTAGAAACTGCCAGATGTAAAAGGCTATCTCTTTGCAACCATTTTAGTTCCCTCAACAAAGACTAAAGATAAAGCCAAAATACCAAAAGAAAGTATTGAATGAAAAAGTCTAAGTAACACTTCTCTGGAAGAAACAGAATACTGACCAACATCTTCACAACAGAACTTTGAATTTGCTTCAGACTGCAAAAAAATTAGATGTACAGAGCTGAGCACAAATCACCAACAGGTCAAGCTAAGCTTTCCATTGGTATTTTTCTCAATAGTCAGTGTAGCGTTGCCAGGTGAGGCATCCTGCCATTCTTGGCATACAGCTAAATACAAGAAAACACTTCAAATATATTTCCTGAAAGGAGTAGCATAACTGTGGCAAAATGTGACAGCGGAAGTCAAAAGGTTGTGTGCTGTCAAGCAGTGTTGACCCTTGCAACACAGTGAAGTCCTGAATCTTTGGAAGGAATACAACTCTTCAACCTACACCACCACTCACTGAAGTTACCGCTCCTAAAGACTACGCACATCCACTGCCCATTTAATCTGTTTGTACACTTTCAGGTGTCTGCTCACCTCCACAATCATCTTCACTGTAGGTAACGTAGTAGCTATGTTCTGGGGATGTGGAGGTCGAACTGTTATTGGCACACAGCCTGCATACAGGCATCCATAAAATGCGGCAATCAGGTCTATTCCTGCATGAAGAACAAAACAAAAATCCTCCCCTGAAAATCAAATAATTTAATCACAGACACCTATGTCAGCATAAATATTACTTGGAACTCAACTCAGAAGGTTAAATGAGCGACTAAGCCCTTTAACAGACTTCTTTTTCAGTCCCTTGTCAGTATTTGTTCAGCTTCACTGATTCCTTTCAATTGTACTGTTCTTCTGAGCATGAAAAAACAAAGGCGACATGCAACGCTGCAGCCAGATACCATCATTTAGGTGAACTCCACTTTCATGATCAGGAAGTAACCTGTTAAAAAGACTGATTTCTACAGATTAATTATGTTCCTAAATTCACATTTATAGACAAATGAGAGTCTGCAAGAAGAGGGTTGCCCCAGCAAAAGGATAAAGTAGGATGATGCCTGTTCTTATCAGCTCCAGAAGGAACATCTGGAGGTTTCATTCAATACTGTCTTTCTCACGCCATTTTTTTTCTCTCCATCCTTTGCTGGATGCAGGGGGGGAACATTGTCACCAAGGATGACGAAAAGGCTGAAGTACTTAATGCCTTCTTTGCCTCTGTCTTTAATAGCCAGACCAGTTATCCCCAGGACATTCAGCCCCCTGAGCTGGAAGACAGGGACGGGGAGCAGAATGGAGCCCCCATAGTCCAGGAGGAAGCAGTTAATGACCTGCTACACAACCTCGATGCTCACAAGTCTACGGGGCCGGATGAGATCCACCCAAGAGTACTGAGGGAGCTGG